TATATATATATACTCTTGGAGAATAATATATATATTTAATATTATAATATACATATATCTCTTGACAAATTTAATATTCGAAATGAAAGTCGAAATAAGATTGATCAAAATTATTAATGCGCATATATCCGTCTTCTCCGCCTGTAGAGTAGCTGCGACCATTAGGATGAAAAGCGAGAGAGTTAATGGGTCCAAAGTGTCCTTTCAAACGTGCAAATTCTTCTTCAAATACTAAGTGAAAGAATCGTGAGTCGAATTTGCCTTGTCGTGCAGATGTTGTGGTGACATCCATGGCATCTTGACCACCGCCAAGAACCACCTACAGAAAAATATGGTTTATTTAACAAATACATTTATTTCCTTCGATAGAAATTATACCATACTTTTCTATCATAATTTTTTCAAAAATCATAATAATGAACGACTATTCTGTGGCTTAAATCTTACATGATCAAAAATTGGTGATATCGTAGCCGAGTTTACAGGTCTTTCTGTCTTGTAAGTCTTCAATAGCACTAAAGACTCGCTGTCGAAAAGTTTTGCCGTGTGATCCTTGGATGCAGTTACAAACATGGTGCCATCCTTGTTGCATTGCATATCATTTATCTGAGATTTATGACCTTTAACACTAGACAGCTTTTTTCCTGTCTATAAATATTACAAATAATAATTAATATCAATGTATCTACTAATAATAATTATATTTCTGCAATTAAGGTAATAATAAAGACACTTACTCTCACATCCCAAAGTTTAATTTCACCATCTTCGTGACCCGTGATAATGGTTTCATCAAGGGCTCCCCATAATATGGCAGAAATTCTAGGACCATTGACCGAAATTCTAGAGATCGCATCTTCCTGCGATAACGTAGAATCAACATTTCGTACATCCATAATAAACATCTCGCACTGGTGACCTAAAGCCTTATCAGTGGAGAATACTGCGAGATTTGCAGAATAACTGAAGCCACACGCTCTTACAGAACTGTTTGTGTGCAGTTGTCCTATTTCCTTGCCTGAACATTATACAAAGATACCATGTTAGACCCACTAACAAAACTTATTTGCATGATTCTATCATATGCACAAACCAGTTTCACAATCCCAGACTCTCAGAGTATTGTCACCGCTGCCAGATAACAACCGCGTGGTATCCCAATTGACATCAATGCACCATACGGAACCATTGTGTCCATTAAAAGTACCAAGACGCTCTCCATTCAACGAGTACCAAACATTGGGTTGCTTGTCCTTACTAGCGGAGAACAATAGATCTCCTTCTCTGTTATACTTTATTTTGGTGATGGCACGCTCGTGCCCATGCAACATCAAAGGTTTCTGAAATAAATAATTTCTTTTATCGGTAAGAAAGATATGGATATTAGGTGGTTGAATAGTGAAATTATCATTTGCGATATAAAAAATCTTTTAAGAAAAAACTATTACACAGAAACAAGAACTGAACATAAGTTTCGAATTAGGAAATAAATCGTAGCACCGCCTCAAAAATCGAAATGGTATGAAGAAGAGGTTAATATTGTCACATGTTTTATCATATAGTTTGTAACATAGACTCCTACGAGAAAAAATAATAATGTATCGGCGCAGAGTTAAGGAAAAACTAACCATTACGTGGCGTTTTAATCTACAATCGTATATTTTCTATTAATCGACAAATTAAAGTCCTCTTTAGCACACGATTATCCGCATTCGCACATCTACCACTACCACACTGACCAATACTCGACTCCGTCGAGCAGTGTTGCCAACTCGTTGAGAGCTTTTACGCTTCTACCATATTTAAAAAAGAACAGACCTTAGGCTGCGTTCACTCTCTATTGAATTATCTCAATTTCGATGATTTTTTACGTAAACATTATATGATATGAGTATTTAATTAATCATATTGATGCATATTGTACCAATTTAGTACACCATTCTTTAAATACATTGCTGAAATAAAGATATTTTCATAGAAAGTTACTAATTAGTACACGGATCGCCGATGCAAAAGGAGTTTAAATAGTGCTGTTCACTTTAACATTCGCATGTCCGCGAGCATCGTTTCATCTTTGTTTATAATATTTGAAAACGTTAAAAAAAACAATGAAATGATTTTCGCGAACGTTACAAACGTAAAGTGGAACGCACCCTAATATTTACTAATAGCGTTTTCGGCCCGACCGGGTTTGCACCAACCTGGGTTGGATTAATGGCGTTTTGCGCTCTCCTATTGGTAGAGCGTGTGACATCAACCAATAGGAAAGATTAATCCAACCCAGGTTGGTGCAAACCCGATCGGGCCGAAAACGCTATAATAGCGTTTTCGGCCCTTGGTTGACGTCACACGCTCTACCAGGAGAGAGCACAAAACGCCATTGATCCAACTCAGGTTGGTGCAAACCCGGCCGGGCCGAAAACGCTATAAGGCGGCGTCTCGTTTTCACGTTCACACGCTTTAAGCATCAGTTCATCCTTGTTGTCTATCAAATATAAAAAGGCAGCGTCTCGTTTTCACGTTCACACGCTTTAAGCATCAGTTCATCCTTGTTGTCTATCAAATATAAAACGAAGACAAATGACGCTTATAAGCGCTGTAAGTGTAAAACAGAACGCACTTATAATTGGCTTGTTTTTATTAAAAGCGGCATATAAATAGATTCACCTTTAATGAACTGCTTTTTACACTTTATGATTGCATAAGCAATACGTCACAGTATTAAACAATTCAGTAAACAAAAAACCAGCTTTAGCAATTGTTTAAATGCTTTAACGTTATACATGATTTTATAAAATTTATGTGATTTAACTTGCTATTAAATAACTTCTCTACAAGAATACATAAAAAAATTATGTAACATCATGATCGGGATTTAAGTTTGGACTAGGTACTTACATATATATATATATAAACCAATTAGTAAATATGATTCCAATATACATGTATGTGCACATACGCACTGTATACAATATATTTATATATAGGCATTAAAATATACAACTAGTTGCATACGCATGATAATATGTATATACCTGTACATATACATATATATACATACATACATATATATACACACATACAAATATTTGACAGGTCAAATAATTCAAACAGGCTTTTTTCTACTTTCCTTACGTACACTCATTCTTTCCTCTTCCTCATTTCTCGTTTTTTATAATTCTCATTCTCTATAATTAACAAATAATAAAGATATGCTTTATGAAATTCAACTTACGCGTAAGAAAATTTCTAACGTAAAAATTACTTGTATACATGTATGTATCTATGTATGTATACACATATATAATCTAATATTATGCATCTTCTCAATACAATTTTTTACAGTTAAACTCCCATGATATAGAACAGTACAAAACGATAGATTTCCCTTTTGCAGCAATATTACTTTCATCGCTATAGAATGTCATAAAACTGCAGCGATAAAAGGAAATACGTCCGCACTTGACTGTCTGTGGTATTACAATATGTAAATACGTGTATGTTTACATATACATACAGAATATTGAGTAAATTGTGATATAATCGTTGAGATTTCTCGTGAATAAAACCAAATAAAATATCCAAAATAAATTTTTGTTATTGATTTCTTAGTCTTTGAGAAATAATTCGTACAAGGATGATTACTTTTATACATTCAAAATCGATATTATCATATAATCAATAAAAAATTTATTATACAGCTTTTATTCCTTCATAGGATATTAATTATCCGACATGCCGCGATTTATCGGAGCACACCTAAGCCAGTTAGTCATTATTGCCAGAATGAAAAATTTTACTTATGTATATATACTCACACACGTATACTGCAGTTATATATGTATATATATGTATATATTTATAAATACACGAGACGGCTACCCCATTATTTAATCTATCATAGTCCACTCTCGTGTTGAGAAAGGCATACCAACTTGAGCAGATATATTATAATTTGTGTCTTTGGAAGATTGACATTACGCAAAATGCACGCTTTTGCATATAAAATCCTATCTTACGAAATTGTCACTACATATGCACACTTTCATTAAACTCAAAGCTGAAAGTAATCTATAACTCGTGTCATACACCATAATCGACGTCTTTCTTTTTTTTTTGTACAAACTCGTTCTAAAAATAAGTGCAATCTTTCTCGCTCGAGGCGCATTGTGTTTATATATAAACTATTTTCAAAAACATGCATATACACACGTAAATAACTTTCTCGTGTCTTCGGGTGTTTTCCAGCAATGTACATAAGCGACACTGTGTACGATTCTGTGCTTTCCAACTACGCTATGTTACATTTGATGCTTTTCAGCTACGTACACAAGCAACACTGTGTAACACTGTGTCAGATTCGGTGCTTTTTAACTATGACATAAGTTGACACAATCGTACACAGCTAAATAGTTGAGTTTGAGTGTGTGGATACTACAGTATATGTTTACGTATACTATAGTATTTCTCTAGTTTTGCGATACTCTTCAAGAGTCTTGATCGTACATACATTGTTACACATGTGTCGCCTATGTACGTAGCTGAAAAGCACCAAATATAACATAGTCCTATCTGGAAAACAAAATAGTTGGAAAGCACAGAATCTGTGTACGTTGCTGGAAAGCACCCTCATTTATAATATTTGTAGACTAGGTGAACGGATTAATATGGGGCAGCCTTTGTGAGTATATATCCATTTTGTATTTATAAACTCTCTTTGCATAACATGATGCTGCCATAGATTTCGGATTTTCAGAATTATATAATGGGTGAGTCAGTGGGCACAATTGTGTGTCTGTATAAAACATTTAAAACACTGTAACACCCAGATGTTTTGCAAAATGTACCGTTGATTAATATTTGATTAGTAAGCCGTCCATTCAGGAATACCTGTACTGTTTGTTTATATTATATTCGTTCGCAATATGGCTCGTGAAATAATATCGAAATTATCTTTTCCAAAATGACAAGATTCTCCTTGTTTTGAGATCTATGTCTTCATAGTATTATAATTTTGATCGGTATTCTACTAGTTACAAATCATTCGCTCTCAATTATATATAATGTATCCAAAATATTTACAACTTTGCTAGCAGGCCTTTTACGCATCCCGCTGTTTTATTTTTAATAAAAACAAATCTCCCAACGCGATATAGGAGATTTTTCTTTAAGCTAATTCTTTTGCTGCATATTTCAGCCATATTTAACGTTCTCAACTAATCTGGGCTATAACTGGCACCAGGAACAGACCTATGTGGAGACTCAATCACTTTCTGGACCGCCTTCTTTTTCACCTTCGCCATCTCCTTCTTCTCGTGTCATGCCTTCAATTGGTGCTGGAGTATCTTCTATGTTTGTAACGCTATTCGTTGGCAGTTGACCAGAGTCAGATGTCACTGACGGTGGACCATTCTGTGCAGCGCCTTGCGGGAATCCTGTTTCAGCTGATACTAAATGCGATGGCATATGTGGCGAGGCCGTTTGCGACTTTCTGCTTTTCTCACCTTTCCTCCATAATGTAATTTCCTGAACAAAATACGAAAAGCAATGGTAAAATGAAGACATATAGTGATAAAAGAAGTATAACTATAGAAAGTTTAAAAAACAATATATGTAAATGATATACAAATTTACCTGTTGCTTAAAGTATCGTCGATCTTCTTCGTCCATGAGAACCAAATTCAGATAATATCTAACACTAAACTTTTTATTAATGTCGCGCATTGTAGGGGCCAAATCATACCCAGCCAAAAATACCCTTATAGGAATGGATTCCCCTCGAACGGGCGCGCCATCCATGATCTCATATTTTGCTATAGTTTCGTTTTCAGTAAACGTATGAGGACCTGCAAATATGTACTCTAATTATTGCCTTAGTACCGTGAATATCGCAAAGAAAAAGTTCTTGGAAACCAAAACTCGCGTTCCAATTTTGCCAACATGCAATGCTACATGTGTACAAAACTGTAGAAATCATAATTAATTACTATCGCTACATTATATTTCAATGTGTAAATTATCTATAACATACCAGAACCCGTAGTTTCTCGTTTGATAATTGCTATCTCCATATGTTTTATTTTTATTCTAACCAAAAGAAAGTATATTTTGCCAACAATTACATCTTTTAAATGATATCTGAAAAAAATGAATAGTTATCAGCAATATGTTCAGAAAATCAATCATTAAAATAGTCCAAATACATGTATTATACAATAACTTACTTGCTTTTATTATATTCAAATTCGATATGCAAACAGTCTTCAATTCCAACTTCCATTTTAATGGGATTATTCATGTCTGGATAGGAACTAAGAGTGTGCACAACTAATTCGAGTTCTTTAACAACGTCACTAATCCTTCGTACAATTGTCACTTTCAAGAAATATCTTAGTCGTACGTTAGAACCGGTGTAACTCTCAAATGGTTTCTCAACATTTGGAAATTCAAATGTATATACCGTATTGTGTGTTAATTCCCCTGGCCTTGCTAATTCTTTTACCAAGCTTGTAAATTCGTGATGATTACCTCTATCGTAATATAGCTCAATTTGTCCAATAAATTCTACTTTGACACCATGATGCTCTAATTTTCCAGCTTTCCTCAAGCTGATATTAATCTGCAAGTATTGATTTAGTAATAAATTTATACTGCAAAAGCATAACACAGTACATTATAAAGTATTAAAAAGAATATGTTACAAATAATTAATACAGAACTTAAAGAGCTACTACAAAAGATAAATAGCATCTGCGAGAGACATATCATAGGTATTTCTCTGTATAATCCAACCTTGGCAAAAAATATCAAGTGTCTTATTAATCACTGTTTAAAGTTTTAGTGCAAAAATTGATTTATGGTATTTGTTTATTTTTAGTTTCAAGAACTCTTTAAACTTATATCATAACTGTATCACTTTATCATATAAATTGATAAGTCATATTTTAACTTTTGTAAAATGATACACGTTTTCGAATAACTGATAATTTATTAGATATACAGTATTATAAACGAAAAGTCTATGCACATTGGAAATGCAGTATTTATTTCAATTTCATTGGACGAAAGCAAGCCTGGTGCACTGAACATATTGCATGCAAGTATGTTAACGTTGGAGTTCTATCAAATCACAGCTAGACGATTAACAATAAAGTTGACGTTTCAAGGAGGAGGTCCTACCTTGCCGGACACGGTCTCGCCGTCGTAGTAGAGCAAGTGCCGTTCCTTCTTGCCATCCTCGGACTTGATGTCTGCAGTCTTTCGCGTCTCAGCGCCGTCCAACGTGATCTCTATGTCGGCGGACTGACCGAAACCAAAGAAACTCTGCGTGAAAAATTTCGAAAGCGTTAGAAAAATCATGTAGAAAATCAACAGCCGGGGTACGGGAGGAAATGACAACCCGGCGCCGATCAAAGTCTCGGGTTACGGTGGGCCACGGTGGGTCGAGGACTGCACCCCCGTGGGAGGTAAACGCACCATTTTCTAGGACAACTTTCGTGGAAACGGTGAGATACCCCGATGCAATGCCGCAGTCACGCTGACAGGATCGGCCGTATCGCGGATCAATGAACAATTCTCCAGAGCAACATTTTCTTACGTGTACGAGAGACGAGAAAAGTTGGGTTATTTTTTTGCTCGTTCCTCCCGAAAGTCACAAGTAGCCAATATGGCCGCGCGCACGCGCCCCCTTCCCCCCCTTACCTCTCCCACTTGTACGCGCTGTCAAAATTCGCCGGTGGCGCGCGCGGCGAGATCTTTTTCTATATAGGGATAATATAGGGAGTCTAGTTGTCTAGTACAAAATTGCAAATGCATGCCGATAGGAGCACACCTGGTGTTCGTTTCCCGAATTCGGGTCGATAAGATCAGTCTTCATTTTTATCAATTGGGCTTAACATATCAACTCTTCAGATGGCGCTTATTTTCGTGCGATAGATTTGTGCACATGGCTCTAATCTGACAGGCAAGGAAGAGAAGAGAGAGGATAAAAATTTATGTGGAGAGTGTTGTTGATTAATAACGGTTTGATTTGCTTCTTCTTGGCCTGATATGCCTACTCGTGATTCTCGGGAATAAAACAAATATCTATGTATTTTTGTTTACAAGCCACGCTGTTGTACATATCCTTCGTGCAGCACGCTTTTCGTCACTCGATCATATAAGCAAAGTCCGAAAAATCTGTCACACGCACCGCGGGTACTCGCTGTGCACCCTGGTGCACGCGTCTGACACGTCTTTCGATGCTGTGATGCGAAATGTTATGATGGCAGGCATCACACGTTATTCTTCACGGACTCGTGTCATTATACCGTGATGTAAGTACTTGATTTAGCCCGCTGTATAGCGGTCAGCTTTCTTGAGGAAGAGAAAGAAAGATTCCTGAAGCTTAATGTTTATCGTCTCTGGTACTCTACATTCTCATCTGTGGCTGTTTAATTATTGCTTTGATGTAAACGTTGATAAATGAAAATATTGGACAAGTAAAGTTTGGGCTCCAGGCTATTTAGCATAAAAAGTGTTACCTCAAGTGCCTAGTTGACATTGTTGCAACATCACCATCTTTTTTTTTTCAGGCATGTGATTGTAAATTTTCGTGTGTATAAGGGTGGAGGCATCAGTGATTATCCTTATGTCTTATAAAAAATATAATTGTTCAGTGAACGGCAGTTTCAACGATGGATTGCGATTACATGACCTTTTACAGGGAGAAAGACTTTCATAATAGATGCTGTGGTGGAAAGCTCTGGTGTATTAAGGCAAAATTTTATGAATATATTATGGATGATTTCTGATGTTTTTTAAGGACCTTGATTAACTTAAGTGACAATTAGTAATACTTGTATTATTTTGTTAATGTATATGAGATAATTAATTTTGCGATATATCAAAAGATTAGATTAGGAAAGACATATAGTTAGCAATTTTGTTAAGCAACTTTGCTGATTAATTATCAATTAAGTTAATCACAGTTTGACAAGGTTGTTCTGACATTGTTATAATTTTAACATAATGTGTCTATATTTATAGGATATATGTGGAATCATATGTGCAGTATTAACATGGCTATTGATAATCTATGCAGAATTCGTAGTGATGGCAGTGATTCTTATTCCTACAATAAATACATTGTATTCCAGCTTAAATATGGCCATTTTCCAATCTCTAGCATTCCTGGCCTTTGCGTCGCATCTAAGAACTATGTTTACAGATCCGGTAATTAAGATAACACTGAAATCTAATTTATTGCTCGATATTTAGTAATTTATTTTATGTAATGTAAGTTAAACATTTTTTAAAACTAATATTTTGTTTTTATGCAGGGTGCAGTGCCGAAAGGCAATGCAACGAAAGAGATGATCCAACAAATGGGATTTAGAGACGGACAGGTTATTTTTAAGTGTCCAAAATGTTGTTCTATTAAGCCCGACAGAGCTCATCATTGCTCTGTTTGCCAAAGGTAATCTAACCAAAAAGTTAAATTTGTGTTTGTAATGTAGCAAGGTAATGCATTAATTACATTGTGCTGCTATTGTAGATGCATCAGGAAAATGGATCACCATTGTCCATGGGTTAATAATTGTGTAGGGGAAAATAATCAAAAATACTTTGTACTTTTTACTGTGAGTATTTCATAAAGCGCATGCACATGTTACGATTTAGGCTTTTACAAAAAATGATCAAATTAATGATTCTAATATTTGACATAAATATGTTGAATATATTTTGTAAAATATTTTAAATGTACTTCTCTTGTACCATATTTTAGTTTTATATAGCGGGCATATCACTGCACTCTCTATTTCTGTGTGTACAACAATTTACCATGTGTGTCAGACAAGAATGGAGAGAATGTTCCACGTTCAATCCACCAGCAACGGTGGTGTTATTGTTATTTCTAGCATTCGAGGCACTTTTATTTGCCATTTTTACTGCTGTAATGTTAGGCACGCAACTGCAAGCTATTTGGTATGATGAAACTGTACGTACATGAAACAATTATTATTTCTTGTGCGCATATAAAAAAAATTGCGGTTTATATTTATTGTACTATATCTTTTGCAGGGTATAGAACAACTTAAAAAGGAGGAAGCTCGATGGGTTCGCAATAGTAGATGGAAATCGATTCAAGCGGTTTTTGGAAGATTTTCGATAGCTTGGTTTTCCCCCTTTACCTCACCTCCTAACGCAAAAACGAAATTAGATTCTTATCTATATTCCGTTTAAATTATATTTTGATATGTATCACCATGACTTACATATAGAGGAATACTTAAGGTACATAAATACTATAATGATGTTCGATTAGTATACAGGCTGATTCCTGAAATTGCGGACTACAACTCTTCTTTTAAATGAAGAGAAATAATACAAGAGAATTTTGCATAATTTTTGCAGAATTATTCTATTTATAAGAAAAAAATTATGTTTATAATATTGAAAATCTTGTATAATCTTGGGTAATCAAATTTTTATACGTCAGTTTTCAGATCTTCGTTTATAAAAAAGAAATATTTTTTTGTGATAATAGATGTATTGACGATTAACAATTTGCAATATTTAATATAAATATAGTTAACTCTATCATAATTGACTATTTACATCTTTTGTAAAGATTTTATTTATTATATCGCTTTATTTCATATATCAGCGAATTTCGTACATATATATAGTTTGTATAGCCACATACAAATCATAAGAGATAAGAGGTAAATGGAATATAAAATATATATATTTAATATAAATAATATATATTATATATATATACTATAAGATACTATATATAATATATACTAATACAGTATATACATAGGATGTGTTCTGAATTAGAAAGCGCATGATGCATCATTTATCTTCGTTATTCACCGAAGAATAAAGAAAGATAAAATGATACGCTTTATGCTCTTAACGGAACGCACCCATAATAAATATATATGTACGAAAATGTATATTTACATTTTTTTTGCAAAATATTTGTAATTTTCTACTGGTATCCAAATATTATACGAATTTTTTGCTATGACAGCGTTAGGAAAGTACTTAAAAAGTAACAATCAGAGTCGAATTTACTTATCTATATCTTTAGGTGTAGTGATATTGAAATGTTGTATAAATTTTAATTTCAGAGAAATATAAGATTCTACTACATATATTTGAAAGAAAGAATTTTTTTTTGTATTTATATAGTGCTTTAATCTTTTCATATTATGTCTGGTACATTTCATAAACGTAAAAAATTAATGCATTTTAATATAATACATTGCAAAATAAACTATCATTTTTAAAAAATATTGTCGAATTTTAAATTTGCTTGCTTATTAGTATAGGTAAAGTCGACTTTGACAACTATCATGTTACTTTACCCAAAGAAATGTAATATCTTTTTAAAGATATAAACGTATTTTAGTCATTATTCATATGAAAGAAAAATGTAATTCATATATATATACTATGAAATTGTACATTATTATAACGAGTAATAGAAATGGTTCTTTGACATCTTTATTTTCTATGGAGACTGAGAATTATATTTTATATTTACATAAATAAAAATGTAAGTGTGCCATACACACATAGAAGAGAGATAATGTCGTAAATTTTTTGTATCATTTATTGCATATCTTGTAATCGTAACAAAAATATTTTATGTCACAAAATCTCGCTTTCTATTTACATCGAATTACATATTTGTAAGAAACAATAAAGATTGATCTTCAGGGATGAATTGAAAAAAAGCTTGATGATTATATCCTTTACTCAAGTAAATTCAAAATAAAGAAAATATGAATAAAATAAAGAAATGAACAATAATAAGTGAACATCGACCAATGTGTAGATAACACAAATAAGCCAAGATGACCTTATTCGGTCAAAGCGATCTAATCTCGGTGCCTAACAATAGTGGAAAAAGAATAAAATAAAATAAAAATAATCGTGTTATTCACCTCTTTATGCCTTGAACGTTTACTATATTAAACGCGAAACACAAAAAGATTTTGTCTAGGCATGTATGACGGGTTAAAGCGTGAATTTCATCTTTTTTAAATCGGTGTTTTTCCTGGGATAATTAATTCGCATCTCGCTCTATACATTCACACAATTTCATTCGAACTCACGAGAGCTCTAGCGATGTTCCCTTGTTAGTCGTGTACTTGCAAACAAGATTTCCCTGCTTGACTTGGAAACGAGCGATCAGTCGCGCGGCGATACTACTGGCCGCTATTAGGAAAAGGATTGCCGATAATTAGCATTTTAATTTGTAGGAGTGATTTCTCCATATCGCTTTCTATCTTCGCTCTCTACGAAAAGATAAATATATTTTATATCAGAAATACATTATAAGAAATTAAATTTCCCGGTCCGACAACAACCGCGTAATGCAATGCAAAATGCATAAAGCGCGAGTTCAATGTCACAACTCCATAAATTTATCTGTCCGAACAACTTTATTTTTACTAAAAGTAAAAGCTTGCAGTAACGGTGACTTATTGCGTTATTAATCTTTTATTGCAAAATGTTGCAATATCTTCAATCTACGTTATTTTATTATTTTGATTTCTGATCAAAAATATTAATGAGTTATATAAATTAATGTATCAATTATTAATATATGTATAAATATATTTATATTAAAGATTTGATAAATATACATAATATTAATAATTGTATTATATTTAACATGATTAATATATAATATCTAATAATAATCTTTTGGATATAACTGTTATATTTTATTTTTAAGTTTCTGATGGAACTATTTAAATTACTTTTATTAGTTAATATCATTGATAAAATATTTTTAATATATTAAAATGTGAATATATTATATATTTAAAAAATTATATGTAATATATTTAAATATTGATGTACTATATTATTAATATATTCATTATAAATATATATATATATAACATTAATAATATTAAAAATATTAAATATAATCGTTGATCGTTACATCCATTTTTTCATTTTTTAAATCGCTTTTCGCAGAGTCTATGTTTATTATACTGTCACAAAAGTGACGTTCTTTAAACTCGTGCTACATTATTGCACCAGAGAGTCGTATCTTATAATCGATTTTTAACTGGCTTTATATGTATTTGATTTACAGCCTTTTTGTCTGTCTATTATATTCCAATCGAGAACGAATTAAACGGAACTTTCTTTCCCTGACAATAATTATTTTTTCGACAAAAACGGACTGCTACTCGATGGTGGTGGTGAAATCTGTACGTAAGTCGCATTGAATTACTTCTGATTCACCTCAAGACGAACCGACGTGACGTGACGGCAAAAAGGTGCGCTGCAAAAGCAAAGTGTACCTAAAAAGCGATATCGAGTAGAAAAAAGGACGATTTATCTACTCGGTAGAGATACAAGCGTCCATGACGGATCCGAAGCGCGCGTTGCTATCCGATTGGCCGGCTGCCGATAGCGCGGCAAAAAACGAATGTGTGCGCGCGCGCGCGCGCGCGGCACGCTCGGACCCCGTTTTCCACTTTCATCGACTTCCGTTTTTGTAGATGGGGGATACGGCGCAGCGGCGGCGCGCGGTGGTTTCCATCTCGACGGACGCGCGGACGGGCATGACAAGGCCGGGAGCGAGGCGGCCGTCGCGCGTCGATCGAAATCCGTATCTGTCACGAGCGCCACTGCCACCATCGTCGCTGTCGTTCGCTGGCTTTCACTTTTCCGTCGCGATATCTCGGTAAGTCTTTCAGAAGCTCTTCGCGCCTACGATTTTCTAGAAATTCTGTTTTCAGACTTTACTTTGGATTACTTGTAATTCAGAACTTGAGATAGAATAGGCCCACAATTTGTAGATTTACAATTTTATGCACAATACATTTCGATACATGTGCGTATTAATATATCTATATGTAATGTCTTTTATCATTTGATTTGCTTTTACATATATGCACGCATATGTATGCCCTCTTCTTCTACTATTTTTCTGACACTGTCAAAATTATACAATATTTTAAATACATAAAATTGTATAATATCAAATTTGCATAATATTTATGATGTACAATTTGTAAAATTTTCAAATAACAATATAAAAAGATGTATTTTATAAGAAAGGAATTTATTTTGAATCTATAAATAAGTATATATATATATATATATGTATATATTTATTTGTTTCAAATTTATAAATAAATAAATATGTATACAATTAGGAATTTCAAATTAATTCCTTCTTATAGAAAATTTTTCTATATTATTATTTGAAATATTTTAGAAATTTTGTACATATGTGCATTTATATGCACGTATGTCTACATTGTTATCATTATATATATATATATATATATTAAGTAAATATATAATTAATGTATACCTAATGATAACGGTGTAGACATAATGCGTTTCTCCACACTTTCTATGATGTTAAATTTTCAGCATATGATGCGGGTAACGACCGCATTATTTTTGGAAACGTGTAGGTACACCCAACGTAGAACTCTGTGTTAAATAGCAACATATGTTTGAAACGATATTTTATCACTGAATACCATATCTCATTGTTTTACAATTAGATCGTAAATTTTATTCCTGAATGCATTTTTCCAAACATTTGCGCAATATATTACGATTTTATATTAGATTGTAACGAAAGAGTCTAGAAAGTGAAAAGTATATTAATTTTTGTAAAAGTGCACAATTTTATATACTTGCACATGTTTTAATTTCCATTATAAATTGTATAATTTTTACACATATTATTAAGTAGTTCTACATACTCTTTTTTACAATGTAGGGAGAATAGCATGAGATCAAATAATCCGCGAAATTAATTCTTCTGACTGACAATAATTTTTCACATTTTTTTTCTTTAGTTGAAGTAGGATAGTTTTTATTTTAGACAAAAACTTTTTTATCATTCAGAGAATAAAAGAACGATTTAATATTTCTAATAAAGTACAATTAACTCGCGTGCATCGTACGCAGTTTTTCTTATTTATTGAAGTGGGATGTATTTTTTACCTTGGAAAAGATTTTGTTTTTGAGTTTAAAGAATAAAAGGATGATTTTAAATATTTTTCTAAAAAGTGCGATTGATCTGTGTGCATCATTTAATTCGTGAGTGGTTTGACGAACTGTGCGCTTCGTTTCGTCACGCCTTGCTTAAACACTTTCGCTTTCGTGCTCCGCGGATCATCTCGTGATTCCTAATTGGACACTGTGTAATCGCCATTTTACGGCTATTTACTTACCGATCTCGCGAGGCGTAGATGTACGATCTGATGCGATTAACGGTATATATAAATATTAAATTCTATCTAATACATGCGAAAACAATCGAGATTTGGCGGCTCTCTTCGTGGAATAATCATTTTTCATCTCGTATTCGAAGGAAAGCGATGAGAAACGATTTTTCTCTCTCGTGATCTGTTTCGAGCTTTAATATTATTAATGTAATTGAAATATATAATTAGATATGCAATTACGATACACAATTAAAACGTACAATTAAATGTTCGATTGAAAAATACGTGCGATTAATCCGCATTGAGAACATTATTTTTTATTTGTCAAAGTACGATATAGTTTCTTTCTCAAACAAAATTTTTTTTGAGTTTTTTTGGAGACAGAATAATTTAAAATATTTCTAACAAAAGATGTTCGACCCAAGTGAATCATCTTTGTTTGATCGCTTTTTATACGATTAACTTAATTCGCCGTAAAGAAAAATTAATTAAGTTTAAGAGGGAGACATCTTAAGAATATGAATGATTCGTGTGCATTAAGAGTTACATAATTTTTGTATACTTAAAATCAATTTTTCTACTATTTTTTTCTACTATTTCTAGTCCTTAAAATAGATCTTTTTTGTTGTGTATAACAGATTCTATTTCCTTTGGATGCTTGAAGTTCTACAAACAAATAAATCTCTGCGTGCCGTGTAAGTGTGTGTGGATCCCTACCTGAGCGCGTCGAACGATCGAACGTTTATATCTGCTAAATCGCTTATAACTTAGTCAATTTTTCGAATTTTGAAATAATATCTCAAGAATATATTTTTATATGTACTACTATAAGAATGTTAAAAAAAAAAACAAATTTTGATTTTTTTTTTCGAAGGTTTTACATCAAGAGTCCTCCTTGATACTTTCACGGATATGCCTTAGAATTATTTTTACATTTTTGTATTGCTTTCGCGTGTTTGGAACGATTACCTAGAACAATAGCAGCCGGCCGCGCAACTGCGAAAGGCATTACATTTCGTTAACGGCCTGTTTCGCAATAGGTAAACGGTCAAGGTACGTGCACATACGTAACGGAGAATGGAGAGCGACCGTAAAAAAATGATTTCAGATCGAACGTACTGTGCTGGAGATCCGCGTTCAAAATGACGCGCTTCGCGATATCGTTAATGTAGAGTGCTCCAAAAATTGTTTCGAGTGATTTTCTTTCTAACAATAGATTCGCTGAATTTGAAATCGGTTTTCCTTTAGAATATCGATGAAAGATCATCATTCACTGCACTTTTTCAATCTTCTGCGTCATATATCTTTGTCAATATATCAGCTAAAGAATCTTATAAAAAGAATAACCGGTAGTTTGGAAATATCTGTCTCGTTACATTATAATTTATCTTATACGTTTGCATTTAAATAGATTGTGAATGGTCAAACTGTTTCGAATTTTTCTATCATTATCTCCAATATTTTTTCTTCGATTTAAAAAATTTAATCTTTCTCTCTCTCTCTCTCTCTCTCTCTGCTTTTATTAGATTTATTATTTTAATTAAATTTCATTTTGTATTTTTTGATTTTATATTTTGTTTACAAATAAGTCTGTTGTTATATTACGTATCACAAATAAATATTTATTATATAGGATGAACCATTGTTGTATTATACACAGGATGTATTTTAGTCTAGACTAGATTTATCTCATGCGAATCGAGGTAATGCTCACGTTCTGCACGTAGCATTGAATTATATCATTGCGTATTCGTGGTCATTAGCTTTAAACGCGAATACATGTATGGACGAACAAATATGATTGTTTTATAACTAACAAATTGCAATTAAAAACTGCTAATTTGCCACGTGACAGAGTGTGCGATTAATTTGGTGAGAGAGACCGGATTTATCGCTTTCCCAGTTTCATCAAATAGTCGAGAGAGTTATGCTGACAAGACTCATCGTTGTATGTCACATAAACATTATTTGTCATTTTAGTATCTTGATCGCGCGAGAGATACGGTCAGGAAAATGGAACGGAAATTGATAATGATATGGAACGATCGAAACATTTTATTGGTACGTATAATTGTTTAGTATTAATCAAAAATTATCACCTAGTATCACGACAGTATTCCATTTATTACAGTAATCGTAAAAAATATTCATTACACACGTAAATCATTGTAAAAAGAAAGATGTAAATTGTTACTCTATTGATTATACTGTCGGATTATATCGTTATTTCAGAAAACGCGAGGGTTGTGTTTAAATTTAAATATGTTTAAATAATAATAAATTAAACTAGACTATTTATGTAAATAAACTCAAATAAACAGAAAATCGCCAAACACGGTCGAAGCGGGACTGGGTCTATTAATATTTCTATATAAATTTTAAATAACGTCCTTTTCATTTCTGCGTAAACTGCGTGCTGATTACCGTTGGATTTGAGATACAATTATAAATTGAGACTGTAATAATAATATTACAAATTAAATAGATCCATTTAATAATGGTGCTAATAAGCATCTTAAAATATTGCATAAAGAATTTATTGTGTTTAAAACATCTTCATTCAATTTTTAATTCAATCGAATTGTTTCTGTTTTGCTCATTTTTAATTTTGAATAGATATTTATTGACCTGGTAATTTATTACGAAAAAGAGATAGATCCATACAAGCAGTTATTTTTTATATCACAGCATTAGTCCTTTGATACCAATTTATTTCATGAAATTAAATCTTTAATTTTTCTGTTAATTTTTAATTTTGAAGATTTGTGGTAATTGTAGTTTAACAAACTGCATCTCTGTGAATTTCCTTCAATGTAACTTTACAAGCGATTTATCCATCAATTTCACGTTGAGATTCTTGATAGCAATTGACAAAGATAGCATTATTGCAGGTATTTTGCTTTTTCATCACGTTAATCATCCTCACATCGGCATATGATCCAGATGACAAGTCCCTAAAGGATATTCTCTTACCAGAAGGTCAGTTCGAGGCATTTTACCTGAAAGGTACGCAAGACGAGGAGCAAAACGCCGTGAGACCGCCGCATCTTCATGGGTCCTTTCATCAATACCGAAATCCTGCATTGGTTGATGCGCCGAATAGCGCCGCATATGGATTTCGTTTCGACGGAAAACGCCGCTTTAACTTCAGTTAAACTATCACAAATAGTTAAAAAAAAAGAATAAAAGAAACACTGAACATGGATAACCAACGCTTTCATTGCGGTTATCGTTGAAATCTTGAAATATGAAGACTAAGAGTGCATGGATGCCTGGTAGTTAGTGGTTAAAGCATTCGTATCATTTTGTTTAGTCAAGCGTGCAAATTGAAAGTGTTTATGCATAAGGAAATTTAATATGTATCATTTGCTTTAGATTAAATGGAATTTACAATAAATATATTCAAAATTTAACAATTATTTATACAGTTGACTTTTTTTCAAACGAACTTATGAGAGAATAAAATATAACTAATTAAATATAATTGAATAAGAGAAAAATGCTACATTCGATCAAAGCAGATTTTGGTGCTTAAATATTTCTGTGTGAATTTATGTACATATCTGATTCCGTAAATTGTGCGCTGAAATTTTTTTCAATCTTGAAATGTATTCATAAAAGAATCAGAATAGTAAACAATATCACTTATTAAATTAAGAAGCAATTATTTTTTATGTGTGCCAATAAGCATCTTTATAAGAATATTAATAATAAAGATGTTAAAGAGAATTTAAATCTGCAAATAATTTTATTGCGATAAATATTGCCTTAACCAAAGAGTTTGAATAAAACATTAGCTTTGAATCATCTGTGTTTTTCAATTAAAAATCCTTCATTCTTATTAATTTTGTTAAAAAGTAGAGTGTAAACTCAATCCGTGCTCAAGCAACGCCAATAAAATACGTGCGAATTAACCAATCGCGACGATATGATTAATGAACGACGCATTCACTTAGTTAAATTATCTATCTCTTTTTCATGTTAGTAAAATGGTAAATGTTGAATTGATCAAGTTATGTTTGATAAATTTTCTATCATAAATCATTTTAGATTAAATAATAATTGCTTAGATTAAAACTTAGCGCATAAAACTGCTTAGAATTTCCTTAATTCTAAATTGATTCTAAATATAAGAAGGAATAAACAAATATAGTTTACCCATATGTTTGAAACTTAATAATATATGTATACATAACTGATGTTCTGAACATATGACGATTATTTTATAAATCCTTTTAATATTGCATAAAAAAGTAATAATATCGTAATAAATCAATGATCGAAATTAAAATTTCTTCAAAGATCTCAGAAGAACCAGTAAACATAATTATTATTTAACGTCAATTATTAGATTTTATTTTAATGAAAATTAAAAATTTTAAAAGTCGTCAAGTTATATATTGAAAATTAGAAAATTACAATAAAGTAATAAAAATGTCCATTTTATTTAAAAGAAAAGATCGATTTCAAATTTACTAAACTATATTCTAATTCAAAAGGTATTTTGTAATTTTGAGATATCATATTCAAATGCGTATATATACATATACATAAATATACATATAATACATAATATATAATGTATTGTATTATATATATATAATATATAAATTACATACACACACACAGAAGTGAGAAAGTATGTACTAATAACAATAGTATTCCCACATACAACTACTTGTATCTAAAGGTATTGATTTTATCAGGAGGAACTATTATAAAAATTTATGTAAGACATAGTTACTTGATTATACGAACAAGTAAGATCGTTCATACGCGTTGCTCTTGATACAAGACTGGTTTATCGTATCCAAGGGAACTGATTTGCTGCCAGATTAGATATTATTAACTGTTTCGCACAGAATGTCGGCTCTTCTTGCATTAATCCACGTTTTTTTCAATCATGCTCTGTAATCTACACCGATACCACGCCTTTTCCGTTCGCGACCATTCTCGCGATCAGTATAATTATTCGAAAGATCGCGAGATTCTATATATGGAATATATATCAGAATTTTGCTTCTACTTGTATACCAATTAATTAAACGGATTTCTACTCAATTGAGCAGCAATAACATACATTTGCTATCGACATCGAGGATTGGAATCTGATGCGACTCACAGTTAATCTGACGATTCGACAAACAACTTTCCATGTTTAGATGATATAGAAACTTGGCGCTTCACGCTGGAGATGGTAAACTCAAACTCACGCAATTAAAATAGCGTGTAAATGAATTTACTTTCGTTAAGTCAATGGCTTTTGTTACGACTTCTTTCGCGTTAATTTGAAGAATTTTAACAAGCAAAGATATATCTTCATTACATATTGGCACGATATGTTTCCATATATGCAGTCACCAGGATCAACGATGCAAAAGTGCCGCACGAAGTTAAGAAATGTACGTTTACGTAAATGTATCTACAAGTTTTCTCTGCAATTATTGAAGAATCCGTATTTTTTTAAGCAAGAATTTATTAGTAAGTTATTAAATTTCCAAATTTCGAAAGAATTTTTTAAATTATTAAATCTTGAACTTTAGAAACACGCGATGTAATGTAATTTATTTGACAATTATTTATATGTTGTACAAAATGCTCCAGATTTTAATAACTAAAATATTCTATGGATAAAAATAAAGAAAAATGTTGTATAAATATAAATTTATGGAATTATTATTAATTTTAAAAAATTATGACAAAAAATATAGCGCAAACAAAAGAAATTTGCTCTTGTTATTAATAGTATCTATACAGTATAGTATGATCAAACAAGAAAAATATGTAAAAGTAAAACAAAGAAATTTTACATATTTCGACATAAATGCAACCTAAAGAAAACTGAAGATAAAGAATGATTTCTGTAAGAACGAAAGTAAATACGAGAAACCTTGCTTTAGTATATACTATATCACAATAAACACGTTTGTCTACTAGTCGTAGCGATCAGATTGCAATTTAGAAACTATATGTGATATATATCTCTAATAACAATAAGGAAATATAGAAAACAAATTGCTCCCGTTACTCGCCCGGCTCTCGCGAGCGGCATAATGGCGTGTATGCTGTATGTTGGGGATTATACACTAAGATGCGTTATCAAGCTTCGGTACAGACCCCGCTCTAATAGCTACGGGAGAACCTTTAAAAGAGGTGGCTAACACTGCAGCCTAACAGTCGTCTTCGCAGTAGATCGGTGAGGTAAGCAAGATTTCGTGCGAGCAACGATATGAGGATCACGTGTCTCATTACGGTGAGTGAAGAAGTAAATGATTACCTTCGCAGTGAGAAAAGTGAACTACGAAATTACAATCAACGTGACTGTCGCGCGAATTTACTGAGATTATTGTCAAATCGACACGGATCTTCTGTTAATATCATCTGATTTCGTCAATAATGCTTCGATAATAGTGAACACAAGGATGTGTGAATAAGAACAACTAAAAATTAGTAGTAATTTCAGAATATCTTTGACCTTTACAGTTGGATAATTAATTAGCAACATACTTATATTGACAAAATTATGTCTTTATAAAATCATTAATGATTTCTGTATCTTTTAAACGCAAAGTAATTGCAATACTAATATTGACCAATTTGAATGTTAATTGTATTAACAAATTTGCTAAAGAAAACAAGTAAAAGACTTTTTGAATTATAATTATTAGTTACGATAAACAATATAATTTATAATACTATATATACATACATATAATATAATACAAATTAGAAATATGTTTTATACTATATATGCATACGTATATGCCTTATGCATAGGTCTGTGCGTACTTATCATCAACTGTATCCAGTGACGAAATCCAATATTTGAATAGGTAAGTAGATTTTCGATAACAGCACCGTCTCTTTTGTTATATGTATAAAAAAGTTTTTTTGAATAAAAGTGTTTATTTCTTTTTTCATCATAATTCTTTATTATAATTCTACTTAATATAAATTTATAACTGTATAACTTAGATTTAATAATAAATGTACAGCATTTAATAAAATTTTAGAAATATTTCATAAAATAAAAATATTGTATTTGTTATTGATTAATATTTTAATAATAATTTGTCTTTTAAGTTTTCAATCTCTTATTTAATTTATTATATATAAGCAATACACACACACACATATATATATATATATTTGTATATTATTTTCCAGGCTAAGGAAAACAAGATCGCGAGAAGAATCGAGCCTCGATAATGCTACGGCTAGGAAAGAATTAAATCCCAATTCTGGAATTCGTCCCGATGTATTTCCTATGTTGCGAAATCCTCGATCTCCGGGACAAATTCAAACTATCCAGAAGCCCTTTCAGAGTAAGGTCCATGAGTCCCGGTCTAAAAAACAACAATATCAACCCCGCGATCGTTCGAAACGTTTAGTAAAACGTTTAAAAGCCCGTTCGATTGCCGGATCAACGTATGAGGTGGACGATAATGACATTCACGAGATCATTCATGAATCAATTCCCGAAGAGGACAAAGGACCGATTTATATTAAGCCCGTGTTTCGCGTTACCACAAAGAAGACTATTTTTGATTCCATCGTAGACATACTGCAACAATTATTGGACCCGCCTAAAAAAGAACTGGGTCCGGTCGTCGGACCTATCAAGATGCCGGGGTCCAAGCGCAAGATCTATCTACGCCTGTTGGAACCGATCGATTCGAGTCACGTTAATGTGCGCTTTGTAACAGAAATACCGGCTCCTGTGATCGACGAGGAATATCGGGAACACGAATCTTTCTTACCATATTTATCTTTCATCGATCCCTCTGACACGCTTTTGAAAAAACACCCTGATGGATCAAGTGACCCAATATTCACGAGTTCCTCTAATCATCATCATCATCATTCGATTCAATTGCCTCGAAACACTAGCCATATTTCTGATCAAAATCGAGGGCCGCAACCTAATCCTATGGTTAAACCGAAACATCTTTCAAAGAATATCAATAAAGAAAATGTATCGCTCGGGCCCGTCAAAATAGAAGCAGCGAGCGGAGCGGAAAGCCATAAGAATCACTTGTACTATCAATACCAATCAGGAGATGACGCCGTGAAACATGTAACGGAGATGATTAAAAATACAACGGAGAATGAAGAAGGTTCTATAGAACCCTGGTACCAGTTAACTACACATCGTTTGCCCCTTCGGCAGATCGCCCCGTTGTACCCGCTGTCGGCAATGGAACACGCTGATTTCAGCTCTTACGAGAATACGTATAAAGTACCTAGCGACAGCCACACCTCCCCTAGTCATTATTCGAGCTCGTACGAGCAGTACAGCGATGTTAACGCAGCTCCGGGATTCTACGATCAGTCTTACACCATTCCGCATCCTTAC